TGCATGGCAACACACAAACCAACACTCTAAAACTCGCCGGTGAAAACATAACCCCCGCCATGCCCCTGGCGGAGGTAATAAAGCTGTAATGAAAGGTAGAAATCGGATGTCAAACAGTATTGAATATAGTCGTACATTGTTATAAGACAGTCCAGTAAAAAGTGCTCCAGGGTCTCCAACTCTCCTCTCCCACAAATTAAACATTTATCTTCGCCTCCCCAGCGTCTAGTTCGTTTATTCAGTGGCAAGCACCCCGCCCTGAATTGAAACAGCAGGCTACTCCCAAGACTATTATCATAAAAGGACTCTTTACCAGGCATCTTTTTTTCTTTATACAATCCTAGCGAACTCTTGTTTTCTATCCCTTTTTTCCAAACGGTAGTACCACTTTGTTTAATTGCTCTTTCCACTCTAACATTTCATTCTTTAATACCCCCGTTAAACTTTCGTCTAGACTCCTATCCGAGTCAAACTTTGTTATGAGGAACCTAGTTCTCCTCCTCTAGTCTGATCTGAATTCGCCCAATTCCATTGCTTCCGCTATCTATTTACATTTACATTCATTATTCATATATTTTATCCTGCCCCAATATTTAATTTTACTTTTTGCCACTCTCTCTTCAAAAGTTGACCATCCCATCTCCCTTCTAATACTCTCCAGTCCCACATAAGAGGATGCCCCTAGTAACTCCTTTCCCAGCTGGTTTTGCGTCCTGTCTAGTGCCTGGAGGGTGGACGTTCCTCGTTTTTTAACTTTAAATATTAGGGCTTCATTTGTATACGTCAGCGCAGGCACTGCAACTGCTTTCCAAAGCTCCCTACCCACCCAATATCTATTGAAACTATAGAATTCTTTTTAGGCTATTGCTCCCCTGCATTTTCTTGTTTTTTTCCGTATATCATCCTCATGCTGTTGTAAGCAGTTTTCGATATTCTCACTAAGCTTTACCCTCAGGTAAGTGTATTGAGATACTTGCTGCAAATTCATTGCTCCCAGTTTCCAGACACCCTGTTGCTCCTCTATCGGCTTATTGAGAATCATGATTTGGGATTTCTTTTCTCCAAAACCCATTCCAAAATTTTCTGCAAAGTTTGCGGCAATGCTCAACATACTTTTCATTTTACTCCTATTCTCTGCTAGCAGAACCACATCATCCGCGTATAACATTCCCGGAAAGCTATTTCCTCCAATGTAAAATAGATCCATTGCATTGTTACGGAGACCTAAAGGTAAAAGACAATTAATTGAATATAAAATGCAAACAGAGATTGGTGATTAAAGGCAACGCCCTCTGCTTCAGTACCTATATTAGATGCTATATCCAATCTTCGATTCAAACAGTCCCAGCCTTATCTTTGTGTCATTCGTTCTGTAGACATAAGACTCCCACATAGCTTAACAACACGCCATTACCAAACCATTCCTCTCTAACGTTCCCTTAGTAAATTTATTCCTATCCACTCCAGATTATATCAGCTTTTTAAGTCGCAAGAATGGCCAAAGGTATAAGTGGTTTTCTACATGTTTCGCCTCTGAAAATGCATTGGGTTATTAAATATATTATCGCCCCGCGCGCACCGATCCCTCCCTGAATCCATCTGTAACTCCCGCCAAAATATTTGCAGTCTTCTAATACTTTTCCTAGTCGATCTGCTAATAAAATCTCCCATAAATAACTTAACTGCACGCGTTGCCATTCGTTAAGGTAATCGGTGGAGTTTTGCAAAGTCTGTTTATCCAGGTTAGCTACTACTAGTAGCTGATCTAGTAATTATAATTTACAACTACTTGTAAGGTAAACTAATAGAAGTTATTACGTAGGTGTGGATACAATTGTTATCACCTGAGTGGAATAGCTCAACAAACGTATGCTAGGGTAGAATACCCCTATACTAGACAACCACCTGCTATATAGCAAAGCAATTACTCTAGCTAGTTCGGATACGCAATAGACCAATCGGCAGTGGAGATTTGTAGTGGTAAGTGTGGCATTAGTAGCGAGCTGACCAAGCATACGCCCCAGTACATGGGGTGAATGATAACCGCTTGCCTGACACTTCAGATTGGGCAAAGCGCAGTTAATAACCGTTCTGCATTTGCGGACTAGGGTGCCATATGATGATAAGGCAAGGGTCAAATAGATTGATCAAAGATGCAGATAAGATGTATTAATTGTTTTAATAACAAAAATAGGCTCTCAGCAAATGATTTTACTATATAAGATGCTAATGGAAGTGAGGCTAGATTCAATGCTGGCCTTTGGCCTTACTGGCTTCATCGAAAAGGAAAATCGAAATACTAAACTCGTTCGAACACGTCACGTTACCCGCACACATGCACGCACTATATTTTAAAGTGGCGAAGCGCCGGGAAAGTGCAGCAAAATGCGATTCTTAAACAGCGTAGATCAAAGAGTAACTGGGTGCAAGAATCCGTCGTACACTATTCGTATCAACAATTTTATCAAAATTTTCCATAGAAAATATGGTCCGAATTTTAATTATGTTTGGACACTCTTTTATGTTGCGAAACGCTGCGTGCACGCATGCATGCACAGCACGCACGCACGTGTGCCTAGCAACACACACGCACGTACGTACGTCACGCAGCCACATGCAACACGTGTACCTGCACACGCACACACGCACGCAGCACGCACGCAACGGTACCTGCACACGCCGCACGACACGCGCGCAGCACGGCAGCGGCACGCAAGCAGCAGTTAAGTTCACTCACGCACAGCACGCACGCACGTGTAGACGTACCACACGCACGCACGCACCACGCCGTCGTACGTGCAACGCACGGCACGCACGTGTACGTGGCACAGCGCAGCAGCACAACTAGCAGACGTTAGTGCCACACGCACGTGTACGTGCAACACGCTACAGTAGCGCACACGTGTAGCGTGTAGCACGTAGCCAGCGTAGACCGTGTCAGCTCCACACGCACACGCACAACATCCATGCAGCCACGTGTACGTGCATACGCAACGCCCAACGCACGCACGTAATACGTGCACATGGCAGCACAGCGCGTACGCACGCACGCAATGCACGCACGTGTACGAGTGCACACACACGGAGCGCAGCGCACGCACGCACGTGTACGTGCACACGGCACGCACATCAACTCATGCACGCACAGTTTACATGGCACTACGCTGATGCACGCCCACGTGTAGTGCACACACCCTACGGACGCAGCGACAACGCACGCACGTGTACGTGCAGCACGCACACAACCACTGCATGCCGCGACCGCACGTTACATGCACCGCAACGCACACATCATGCAGCGCACGGTGATACGGCACGACGCACGCCGCACGCACGTATAGTCGTGGCACATGCCACACGCGCGTACGTCACGCCATCGGCATGCACTGGGACGCGTGTACGTGCACACACACGGACGCGCACGCACGCACGCACCGTGTACGTGCACAGGCGCACGCACACACTCATGCACGCACGTTACATGCACACGCATGCACGCACGTGTACGAACGGCCACGCACGCGCACCAAGCAGCACTGACTCCACGCACGCAATGCACGCGACGCGTGTACGTGCACACGCCACCGCACAACCGCAACCGGCACTGTGTAAGTCCACGCGACGCACGCACGCACACAACGCAAGCGCATGCACGCAACAGTGTCGTGGCATACACGCACGGCACGGCAGCCCGCACGTGTACGTGCACCGTACATATACAGCGCTTTCTATCAGAACATGCTGTCATTCTCTTGTAAATGTCAAGAGTCCACCTCGCTCTGCCAACCACAACACATAACAATAACAGTTACCTGATCTATGACGTCAACGTGAAACATTGCTATTAGACCTGCGCGCTGGCGTGTGCATATTTGCTAGTGATAGACCTGCTAAAATATCGAGACTGTTTGCTGGCGCAACAATTGATGCCGTCGCGCCGGCTTCGAATTTGGCGGCACGATCAATAGCTGGCCAGCGCGTGATACTTTCCGTAGGACGTTCCCGGCGGTCGCGTGCGTCTTAGCCGCGAACTGCGCGCGCGAAGATCCGCGCTTAGCGGGCAGGATCAACGACCCCTCAGGCGACAGCTTCCTCTGGATCCGGTTCGTCATACGCGGAATTGTTATAAGAACAGTCCAAGAATGTGGCCCTATAGATTGTTATAGAACAGTCCTAAATGGCCCTAGATTGTTAAGAACAGCTCGCTGAATGGACGCCTAAGATTGTACTAGGAACAGTCCTGAATATGGGCCGCTAAATGTTTATAGAACATGTTCTGAATGTGCCCTAGATTGTTGTATAGGCTTGAATTAAGGATGCAGCGACATTTAATTGGAATGTGCTTGGAAAGCACCCACCGCCACGGCACCACGCACGCGACGCACGCACGCACGGCACGCACGCAACGCCACGCACGCGACGCACACACGCACTCACGGCACGAACGTCACGCACGCAACGCACGCACACAAGCATCGTACGCAACGCACGGCACTTCGCACACACAATACGACATACCACCTGCCCACGGCCACGCTACGCACAAGGACAGATGCTGTTTCTGCACTTTCTATACGAGTTGCGAGCGCCTGCCCCACGCCGCCCGCTCTAGCTGCTCACGATCGCATTCGATGAAGCCGTACGGCATAGGGGAAAGGCGTAGCGTGACGTCAGCGTGACGTAGGCTTACCACATGTCAGTAGAAATGAGCGCGCTCAAATATCGACGGCTGGCGCTCGGAGATCCCAAACGATCGGCTGCAGACGCTGTACGCTGAGCTCGCTGGTAAGCATCACAGCCATCATTCAGCGCCGATCACACGTACACTACACACGCGCGCGTTGTTGTGGACACACGCAATTCTAAGAGTTACGTGTCGGAACCACAAGAAGATAGGCAGTGGAGATAAGTGCCACGCTCACAGATATCCACGCACACATATATGCATACATGTATGTGTGTGCATAGAATTAGACGGAGGAGAAGAAGGCGAAGAAGCACGCGGATACGCGGGAAGAGAAGACACGCTCATAGTTGCGACGTGGAGAGGATCTCACGAACAGGAATCCTACTACACCATCATACAGGGATCAAGTCCTGAACAAGTTCTTCTCATCTACAGGTATGTATAAGCATAAATAAATAAATAATAATATGTATCAGGGGTTAATAACTGACAAATTGTCTTTTGACAAAATTGACAATCTTGGTCATATTTAACCCCTGATATATATATATATATATATATATATATATATATGTATATATATATATGTGCATGTGTGTATTGTTGTTGAGCTATTTCGTATGCAGCTATTATAGATAATAGTGTTACATAAGCTGTTCAGTTTTAGCTCTACGGTGACATCTAGCTGAGTGACAGAGACAAGACGTACTAGTACCATGCATGCATACATAGTAACATTTCTGGTCAGAGTAGCTCTAGAACTATCTAGAACAGAGGAAACTCGGACTGCACATCCTCTGCCAGCCAGGTTGAGCACCGAGCATCGCGCACATATCGCATAGACTAACATGAATCTTCCAATCGGTGACTGTCCATGAAGCATCTAGTCCTCTACCGTGCTGCACGATCTGTAAGGACCACGTTCGGACACGACTACTAATATAATAATGCGTAGGACAAATAAGGGAGGATGTCTAGGATATGCGGTTCAGAATTGGGCACTACTAATTCAATTTAGGCCCTATATGGATAGGAGCGGCGACAGGGGCGATCGACTGCAGGTGGATGGAGTTAAGTCGAAAAGGATTAGAGATAGAATATGTTGACGCTCGGCTGTCGTTAGTTAGACCGCGGGGCTCTAAGCCCAGTCGCATTGCAATAGAGACGCAGAATTGTACGGTAGCGAAATGTTGCAGCCAGCTGGCTGTAAACACGCTCGCGAAAAACAACGTGACTACAAACACCAGTGACTACGAACTCCAGGCGAGGCTGTGAGGTTTTAGCTCGATGGCGAAAGCAAAGCCTGTCAGACACGCACAAGTGTTTACCGTCGCACAGTGACGCATTTCATCACTGCTACGCTTCCTCTACCTCGATTTCAGTCTCGCTTCCATGTCTTGCATCTTTGCACTTGAATTGTGATAACGTCTATTAACAGTAACGCGATTGCATACGAGCGCTGCGTGTGTCACTTGAGCACGAGTTGTTTACTCGTCTGCCCCTTATTTTAGCAACAGCCGCAGGTGTAACGTCACATGCAGCCTACTTCATCAGTCGTAATCGAGATCAAGAAAAATCGTCATCATGCAATCATTGCGCCGAGAGAGAGAGAGAGAGAGAGAGATGAGAGAGAGTAGCAATGAGATTCTCGCACGTAACATTATGTGCGTGGCTTCGCGCCTCCTCTGCCGCTCAAGGGGCAATTAGCAGTGATGGCCACGTTGCGTTGTTGTTGAAGCCTACGTGACTTCTGGCTTGTCTTTCGCCACGCCGACGCGTGTGCGCGCGTATGTTTAGGAGTTAGTAGCCTAAACACTAGGCTTACTTAACTCACGCGCGCGCGCGATGTTTATGGGCGGCCTGAAAATATATCGCTGTTGATCGCAGGAGAATTAATCATTTTGCTTCCGTACGAATTTCACGAATTCCACATAGAAGCGTTAAAAACAGGAAATAAGTGTTAGGGAAGAACGACTAGATATGCCGATTCAGAGAGAGACCGAGAGAAAGAAAAAATAGAGAAACAGATAGAGAGAGAGAGAAAGAGAGAGAGAAAGACATGGATGTGCCTCTCCCTTTCTCTCTCTCTCTCACGATCGCCATCTCTCTCTCATCTCACTCACTCTCTCTTTCTCTCCATCCACTTTTCCCTTCTCTCGCGTTCTCTCTATCCCTCTCTTTCTTCCCATATTTTTCTCACTGCTCCCGGGCGCATACTAGCTAGCCCTAAGCTGCTAGAGTGCTGAGGCGAAGGCCGTAAACATGGTCGTCCTTTTTCCTGGTAATCCCATGCCCCGGTGACTCATCCTCTCTGGAAAGTATCAGTGTTGGGGGTGCCGCGTTTCACGACAGCAACTCCCAACGGCTAACGTCACGCCATGACACGCCGAGATGCAAAACAAAACAACCTGACACGCACGCACGTACGCACGCTCGCATGCACGCACGCACGCACGCACGCACGCACGCACGCACGCACGCACGCACGCACGTACACACACACACGGACGCACGCACACGCACACACACACGCACGCACGCACGCACGCACGCACGCGCGCGCACACACACACACACACACACACACACATCCTCCTCTCTCGTCCATCACACTTCGCGAACGACATCAGATCTCATGCCTCGTTTCTCTTTCTGCTATTTTCAGAAGATACTCCTTAGCAGTGCAGTGAAGCGAGAAGGAAGTTGAAGCCGTACGGCGCGGATCCACGAGGCATCCGTCACCGCCACACGCCGCGATGCCGTCACTCAACTGCGCCTCGATCGAATCGAACGTGTTTCTCTCGAATGCGAAGCGGATCAGCTCGGCGGGACTACCGACGACGGGCAAGGACCTGCGCTGCGTCGACGTCGACGCCGAGTACAAGGTGATGCGTCTGCTCGGCGAGGGAACGTACGGCAAGGTGCACTTAGCGCAGCACCGCACGACGTCCACCGTCGTCGCGCTCAAACACATGCACAAGGACGAGACAAAGCTGAAGGACTTTCAGCGCGAGTTCGAGCTGAGCTACTACATGTCGCCGCACCGCAACATCGTCATCACGTTCGACGTCGCCTTCGAGACGAAGCACTCGTACTGTTTCGTGCAGGAGTACGCGCCGTGCGGCGACCTCTTCGAGGCGATCCCGCCGCAGCAGGGCCTACCCGAGGACACCGTCAAGGACGTCATGATGCAGCTCGTGTCGGCGATCGAGTTCATGCACAGCAAGGACATCGTGCATCGCGACATCAAGCCGGAGAACGTACTCGTATACGACGAGGCGCTCAAACTCGTCAAGCTCACTGACTTCGGGCTGGCGCGCAAGGGCGGCACGCTCGTCAAGAAGAAGAACAGCAGCATTCCGTACACGCCGCCGGAGATCTGCGACGCCGTCTATAACGAGGGCTACACGTCGGACACGAGCACCGACGTCTGGTCGTTCGGCGTGACGCTCTACTGCTGCATGACGGGCAACTTCCCCTGGGAGAAAGCCGACATCGACGACGCCTACTACAACGAGTTCCTCGGCTGGCAGAAGCGCAAGACCGTCAAGATCCCGTCGCAGTGGCGCAAGTTCTCGCCGCGACTCATGCGCCTCTTCCGGCGATTCCTAGAGGTGAAGCCCGAGCGGCGGTGCCGCATCGAGGAGATACACAAGTACGCCGACAACAAGTGGGTACGTCGGCGGACGGCGTCGCGCTACGCGACGTCGGAGATCAACGGCGACCGGTCGGACAGCGGAGAGCCGAATCTCACCAAGCTGAACATGATGTTCAAGGCCGCAGGCGCCTCCGCCGGCGAGGGACTAGAGGAGAAGGAATTCCGCGAGCAGAGACTGCGGGAGTGGATCCTGTCACTGCCGGAGGGGGAGACGTCCGGGTCGGCGCACGGCAATACACTCTCTGTTCCGTCATGAGGTTGTACCCCTTCATCCCAACCCCAACCCGACACATAGACTGGCTGTGCCGTCATATGGTTGTAACCCCCCGCCCGAGTTCGTCCGCTCGGTCAGAGGTCAAAGTGTGGCGCCGAGTCGCATCACACAAACACTGACACTCTGTCGCTCGTTAGCGTCTGGCAGAACTACAGCGGTAGCTACTCGCGGCAGTAGCGTCGTTTTAGGTTTCACGTAGAGACCGGGATAGAGAGGTTGAGTCAGTCAGTCACTGGCTCAACGAGACTACGATACGAGACTTCCAGCGTTTCAGATGGAGAGACTCGGGGACAACAGCCATGAGCCTCGGACAGATGATGGCGCATCCTCTATGACGACCGGCCCGCTAGCGGCAGCTGATGCCCGTGACGTCACCGGGCGCTGCTCCCCGCGGGAGCGACATCTGGCGACGCGCCGCGTGTGTGGATCGTGTCACATTCGTGTTGTCCCGTGTCCGCGCCATCGTTGTTAAACATTTTATTTTTTCTCGTCGGTCGTAAAAAAAACCGCTTCATGTCGATATACCAGTAGATGCATCTACCGCCATATGTGTGCTAACGCCCGGGATTGAGAACGTACGGTGGTGTAGGGTTGAGTTCGAGGTAGGCACAGTACGCGGCTCTTAGCGATGCCAGATGGTTTACATTTGGCTTCTAATCCCCCTCCTCTTCTCCCCGCCTGGCACACGCGCCGTGACCCCCGCGCTACAGGCTCCAGGAAGTCTTGGTAAACCTCAGGAAAATCGTGTATTATTTCGTAACGACAGTGTGAGGCTGCATGCACCCGGCTTACCCGTTCCTCGCCCGCAAACCTTTACGATTCGAGTAAATGTTATTAAGAGCGAGATTTCCACAAATGAAATGCTTCTCTCACGCTCTCGCTCTCTCTCTCGTTCTCTTTATCTCTTTTTTTCTGTCTTTCCATTTTTCTCTTTCTCTCCCTCTGTCTCTCGTTCTTTCTCCCGCCCTCCTAGTCTGGCCAGTGAACGCGCGTGTATAACGCGGTACATCGGTAACACATCGGCGGCTTGTTTCTAGCATCGTAAATGTTGCGTCGTATATATAGATACACGTGGAATATTGCAGCCTCTCTACGACCGACCGACGGCTGCTATTTAGAGCTGTTTTAATTGCAGCGTCCCGCCGCTGCCAGACGTCCGTAAATTGTGGCTATTTCTTACGGCGATTGGCGATCAACAGAAGGCGATAAATGGACACCAGAAAGCCGTCAGTCTAACGCTGCCTCCCGCTGCTGTATATCGCCGTCGGTATAAAGCCGCCCCGTATCCCGTGTCAACGCTACAACTCCCGTGCAAATATAGGATGGCTTCGTGCAGAGAGCGAGGCGTCTCTTCCACAGCCGCTCTCTCTCTCTCTCTCTCTCTCTCTCGCTCTTCCTCTTTCGCTGCGCCCTCAGTCTTCACTGTTTCTTTCATAGCTCTAAGAGCTACGTCGTTTTGTTCAAGTGTGTGCTTACTGTTAGGGCTTCTTTTTTTCACACGGCAGTTTTACTCGAAGATGCCTTACAGGGTCGTTGACCCGCTTATACGATACGGGGACACGTGTGTGTGTGTGTGTGTGTGTGTGTGTGTGTGTGTGTGTGTGTGTGTGTGTGTGGTGGGACGGGGCATAGAAGCATAGTCGTAGACACAGCATCTTGTTATGACGACCAATTCATACGTTTTTTGCACGTTTACGCCAATAAACCTAAGTTATATTTCCGAGTAGTGCAGAGACAGAGTGAAATAGACAGCAAAGTAGATCGAGAGAGAGAGGTAGAGGCCGGGTATATATATAAGATGAAGCAAAGGAGAGAGAACGTGCGAGAAACTGAGATAGAAAGAATCGACAGAGAGGAGAAGAGAGAAGAGAAAAGAAAGAAGACGAGCAGGAGCGGAGCGGGGGGAAGAGACAGAGAGGCAAAGATAGAAGAAGAAGAGGAGAGAAGATGAGAAAGAAAGGAAGAGAGAGAGAGAGGATGGGTGGAAGAGAAAGAAAATCAAGAACGAGAAGAGTGATGGTGAGCAAATGAAACACTGTGCAAGAGAGTGTAGATGAGTAATATAGTGTAGCGACAGCGTATCCAGGCGTCAAGGTCGTCTGCCAGCCCCGCATCCCGCCAGGTCTCAGCGAGCTGTTTATAACAGGCTCGCGGCAAAGATTAGAGGCTCTCCTATTGACGTCACACGCCTTTCTAGATTCAGTAACAGATTGATGGCCTTCCCGCACCACAAGTGCGCACCGCAATTTTGCACATACTGTGTAGCGGCGGGCGGGAAAGAGCAGCGCTATCCTTGATTCCTGTCAGAGTCATTGCTAGGCCGGTCACTTAAACTGCCGAGTTGTATATATACGCGTCCGATCGGGTGGGCAGCATTGCTTCGTCGCTAGTTCTCGCTGCGTCATGCGGCCCGTGTTGGTAGCACGTATGTTGCCAGATAGCGATGCGGTTTCTCGAGCATCACCCGAGCTTGTTTACCGCGCGCGCATGCGCAAGCTTCCTTCCGAAAAGCTTCTCCCTCTGTGTGCAAGCTCACGCGTGCGCGCGTGCTCATGTGTGTCCGTTTATCAAAATAGCATTATCGCACTGTCATGTGAGCAATAAATGTATCGAGTATCTAGTCGTTCAGTTCGTTATACGGGCTTCACGCACTTGTACGAGTTGTGTAGTTGTGTGTACTCGGTGCATTAGTTACTACCCACGCATAGTCATCGGTCGTTCTCGCGCGGGTTATAGTCCATTTGTCCAACGATTAACGAATGCGTCTGATAGCGGTCGATTGGCAGAAGATATTGCATTTGTGATGTGCAATTTTTCATATTGTAATGGATGATACTTCTGATTTCTCAGCTGGCTGACGAGATCTGTTATATGAATATACTGTTGTAATATACGCGCAATATACGTGCATGGTACATAGCTGTAGCGATATATATATATGATGGGATTGTAGTTACAGGTATGCCACACGGTTGGTCGACGTGAGAGCCCATGGTTGCATATGATGATCAGTAACAATTCTAAATGCTGGCAGAAGAGAGAGAGAGAGAGAGAGAGAGAGAGAGAGAGAGAGAGAGAGAGCAAGAGAGAGAGAGAGAGAGAGAGAGAGAGAGAGAGAGAGTAAGAGAAAGAGAGTGAGTGAGTGAGTGAGTGAGTGAGTGAGTGAGTGAGTGAGTGCGTGCGTGAGTGAGTGAGTGAGTGAGTCTTTAGTACAAAGAAAATATTATAATTAATTCAGTATATAATGCATTTTATAGTATATACGCATATAGGGGCGCCTGCTATACGATAGTCTATTTTATATATTGCTCGCAGCAGCAGCATACGCTTATGCCGTGACTGTAATGTATTATTAATACTCGTGCCCCAAGCACGGTGACAGATGGTTGCATTAGCAATCGAGTCACTGACTTACACATAAACATTTTCGTACTATTTTGATACTGTATTTAAATAAATTTTTGAGCAAAACATAGCCTCTTGTTTGTTGTCTCTTCGCGCCATGTGCGTTGCACCGTCAACGATGACGTCACCATGTAAATACACGTCTAAATATTTATGTCGCCACTACATGAAAATCACGCTAAGGCTTGCGTGTAAATATCACAATTCGCCTATAGCAAAAAGGCAGGAGCAAAGAAATAATATAAGCAACTTCATTCGGCGTAGCTACGTAGCGTTGTAGCTCTCCGCGTAACAGCGGTCGACTCGCAGTGACTACGTAATTCGGCGGTCCCGCTCTGCAGGATGATGATGCGAGCGACAACGGGAATAAATAAACACGCATAATAACACACACAAGCAACGCGACAAATCAGACCCGTCGATCAGTCGATAATCGGTCGGTCCATCAGTCCATTCGTCCGTCAGTCCGTCCGTCCGTCTATCCGTCCCTCCGTCCGTCTATTCGTCCGTCTGTCCGTCTATCCGTCCGTCTGTCCGTCCGTCCGTCCGTCCGTCCGTCCGTCCGTCCGTCCGTCCG